GTGTGCTGGGGTGTGTGCTGGGGTGTGTGCTGGGGTGTGCTGGGGTGTGCTGGTTTGGTTAATGTCTACTGGGTCGTGATGGGAAATTTTTGCTTTGGGGTATAATCGAGAATATTTGGAAGTCACTCCTAGAATAATCAGTTCATTTTTAATATGAAATGATTTAAAATAGTTCTGTTTTATATTTTAGGTGTGAGTTTTTGATACGGATGAAAGGGCAGGAGTTTGTTGATGAGATTCAAGCTAGATATCCTCATCTCCTTGAACAGGTAAACTGGCTCTTCAGACTGACGTGAACTCTGGAGGTGACACATTTGGTAAAGGGCCTCCTAGGCACTGTGAGGCCCTGAATTCAGATCCCAGCACCACGGACAAAGCTGGGTGTGGCAGCGTGCATCAGTAACCCTAGGGTGTTAGAGACCATGGACTCCATGGAGCGCTCTGTCCAGAAAATGGAACTATTCAGTGAGCTCTAGGCTGAATGGGACAGAGAGCCTGTCTTACACACAAGGTGTGGAACTGCTGAGAAGGACATCCGTGTCTACCCTTGTCCTCCACGTGGGTGCACATGTAGTTGCACACACCCACGTGAACAGGTCCATATGCTTGCTCCATATACATGCAAACAAAATTACAGCATTGAACTATGCTATAGAATAAGTACAGAAATCTCAGAAGTGATACTTACATCTATTTTATTAATTCTTTGTACAAAATTTTTTGTTGGTGGAGGCTGCTTGTTTGTAGTCCTGACCACCCAGACCCAAAATAATCTCACAGAAACTGTATTAATTAAAATTCTGCTCAGCCTATTAGCTTGGGCTTCTTATTAACTCTTAAATCTTAAATTAACCCATTCCTAATTTTTTTTGTGTTTTACCACAAGGATTGTGGTTTACGGTAAAGTTCCAGGTTGTCTGTCTCCTTTTTCAGCTAAATTGTGTTTGTCTGCCTCTGCCTTCTTTCTCCCAGCATTCAGTTTAGTTTTCCCACCTAACTCTTCTGCCCTGCCAAGGGCCAGAGACGCTTCTTTATTAACCAATGGTAATAAAACATATTCACAGTATACAGAGGGGAATCCATAATCAATTTTTGAGGCAAAATTGGAGTTTATTAAATTTGTATAGCAATTTTAAGCAATGTAATTAGGAAAAGAAATATGGTTAGGAAGGAAGACATACCTGAGGTTGCGTGTGCTTAGACACCTGAGGTCGTGAGTGTGTGCTTAGATGGATACCTGAGGTCATGAGTGTGTGCTTACACACCTGAAGTTATGGGTGTATGCTTGACACCCGAGGTTGTGTGTGTGTGTGTGCTTAGATAAACACCTGAGGTTGTGGGTGTGTGCTTAGACACCTGAGGTCGTGGGTGTGTGCTTAGACAGACACCTGAGGTTGTGGGTATGTGCTTAGAAGAGCTGCTGTTTTTGAGTTACCGGTACTGTAGCCATGGTACTGCATCCTTGATAGTTTTGTTACTAGCTTGCTATTCAGGCTTCTTCATAAATACTGTTTTTTCTTTTACTTTTTTGAAAAATCTTATATCCTGCCAGGTATAGAATTTTTTTAAATGGGGTTGAAGAGCTATCTTCAATGTCTCTAGTCTTTTCCAGTAAACAAACAAAGGAGTTAGGACCTTTTAAGAGTCACCCAAATGAAATACTGCCTTTTCAGTGGGAGGAGGAGGCACTGCGTCATCATGCTGTTCTCTGAAATGGGAGATAAGCCTAGCTGTATGATATCTATGGTGAGATGAAACCAAATAAAGTGTTCATATGAGTTATTTATTACAGAGGTTTGAGGCATGGAGCTGAGGCATACCTTTAACTCCTAGTTTTCCCTCCTGTGCTGCATACCTGTCTTAAAAACGAAATATCTGAGTCACCCAGTTTCCTGAAGGGTGTGTGCATTTATTAAAGTAAATGTTGTTGTTTGTTTGGGTGTGCTCGTTCATCCCATCGCCCCATACTTGGAAAGCTGAGGCAGGACAATTGCCATGAGTGCTAGGCCAGCTTCAGCAACAGAGAGAGACCCTATCTTACTGACTGTGCTGTGTAGAGTTTGAGATTCCTGATTTACCTGCTAAGTGTTCTCTTATTTCATAGCTGTTGTCCACTTCAGACACCCCAGGAGAAGAAAATGACCCGCCAAGTAAGTAGGAAACCTTTAAATGCAACTGTGAGTCTGGGTAAGAATATTAGGAATGAAAGTATATTAAAGGGAGTCACATGGAAAACTGTGGAACATTAACTGGAAAATTACATGTTTAGTAAGATTTGTGACATTTTAAAAGATTCTAGAACATTTCTTGGTCTTTAAAGTGCTGACATTTCCTATGAGACAAGACACACATAGAAAACAAATAGCTCAGCACTCTGTCAAATGAGAGGTGGAATAAGCTTTTCCTCTAGAGAGGGAGGTTGCTGTGCCTCGAGGGTGTTTGAAGAGGTTTAGGATGGGCTGGGTGCTAGGTATAAAGGCAGGGACAGGTACTTCAGTGCAGCGGCCTCTGGATTAGAGCTGCCCTTTAGCCATAGCTCAGGAGTTAGTGTATGCGATCTTCATGTGTCATGGTCTCCAAGGCTGAAGGAGCCATCACTTTATGTTCTTATCACATCAGAGGAGTGCTGGTTTGACTCTCCATTTCAGGAAAGGCGTTGGTGCTGTGGAGGTGGAACAGAGAAGGGGAGACCAAGATATAGAAACCATGACTCCGCAGTAGATTAGGCACTTGGTCATGGAAACTGAGTCACAGTGGGTAAGGGACTTGGTCAGGAAAGGAAGGAGTACCTAAGTACTGGTACCTGCCCCTGTGTAGGAGAACTGGGGAAGGTGAAGGGGTGGAGAGCTGTTCTTTTGTCTGCTTGTTTTTTCTGTTTTTGTTTTTTGTTTTTCGATACAGGGTTTCTCTCTGTAACAGCCTTAGCTGTTTTGGAACTAATTCTTGTAGACCAGTCCTCGAACTGGATAGCTGTTCTTATTTAATGTTTATTTGGGCTGATGCCAAGGCTGGAATCCGGGTCCTTATGCCACAGTTCACATGTGGAGATCAGAAGATTCTTCTCAGGAGTCCGTTCTCTTCTTTACACGGGTTCTGGGGACTATTCTGGCTGCCTGGCAGGCGCTTTCCCTCTGAGCCATCTCCATAGCAGTTGAGCTCTTGCCACACTTTCCTAGTTCACGCTCTTCACTGAGAAGACTGAAGACTGGAACCACTAGTCTCCATGTACTCTCTTCTCTGTCCTGTTATTTATGTACTTCTCCTTTATTCATTCATTTTTAATATAGGGGCTTATAATTCGACTCAAACTAGCTTTGAACTTTGAAGCCTCATCCTCTGAGTGCTGTATCACAGGTATATGCCACCATTCCTGGCCTCGTCCTCTGGATTATGTCCCCTACTGCTGATTTGTGAGTGTTGCTTTGGTAATGGAAAGAGGGAAGGAGTCTTGTCATGGTCACTGGAAGCTGCTGTATTAGCAGCTCTCTTACTGACCCGGCACCCGGCATTTGATGCATTCAGTGCTGCCTTGGGAAGCATGCTGTGCTGCGTTCTTGGCTGCCCAGTGCTGGGGTGGCAACTGCACTCCAGCACACGGGCTTGTGTCCTCAGCACACCCCTGTGGTTGGCTTCCCTGACAGCATTCTTCCGCTGATTCTGAGCAGTCTCCTTTGTCAGCTCCTTTATTTCTAAGTGACACAACACACTACCACATGAAGTGTATCTTGTACTCAGGTCACGTGGGTGCCAGGCTACGATGTCCAGTTTTCTGCTTCAATTTCCAAGTGCTTCCATTTCTGGCTAAAGTAGCTGTTTCAGTAAATATACCAAAGCAAATGGTTCCTCTGTTTCACTCCTCAGAGGTTTTGCTCTCACCCTCCCCATCTCAGTTCATAACACCCAGCTATAGAAGCCGTTAATGCCTTCACAGTTGGACCAGAAACTCACCACCTACCCATTGCCAGCCTCATCCATGCTACCTGATCTATCCTTACAGTTCTCCCTGATCCCAGGCTGCCCACTAGTCCGTCTCTGCATGTGTCCAGTCACCTTCAAGACCCTCCTGGAGTTCTGGCAAATTTAGGGTGATGTAGACACTCCCTACAAAGCTGCTTGCCATTGGCTGCTGTCCACTGTCTACTGCCTCCTTTACTTCATGCCAAGCTTTTGTCCTTTTTTAGGGCTATTGTGTTTGCTGTTCTCTTCAAACATTCCCGTTGCTTACTTTACCATTTCAGTTTTTGGGTTCTGTTTTCTTTTCAGTATTATTTTCTAGAGGAGGCGTTAGGGATCAAGGCTGTTTTGGTTTCTTCAGACATGCTTTTGAGGCGGTGGCTCTCCACACTCTGACACTGGGTGTTTGTGTGTTTACTGTGCAGGTTTCCAGCAGGTGGCAGCACAGTGTCTCGGGGAAAGTACAGTCTCTCAATTCCTACTTTCATCTCCTTATGTTTTCATCGTCATAACCTCTGTATTCAGAATATCATTCCTTTTGCTTATTTAACTGTGTTTTTCTTATAGCTTTATCCTTCCTATGTTTGTTATTTTCTCTGTCTCACGTAACATTTAGACATTATTCATCATTCAAGTCTGATACATCTCCATTTTGGTGTTATTCTAACCCAAGTGCTTCATGTGTGCTTGGCAAGAACTCACCACACTGTGCAAGGCCCCAGTCCCACACCTAATCCCTTTACGAGGGGAAGAGAGTGGTTACATGCTTGATTGCTGGAAATGGAATTCTCAAGTATGCCAGACAAGCCCTCTACCTAGGCCACACCACCATTTCTTAAATTTTGTAATGTTTTGTTTGTTTGTTGTGTTTAGTTTTACTGTGCTATCAACCAAATGCTGGATAAGCTCTCTACAAAGGAGCTGTACCCCCATGTTAGCCCTCTTTCTTACTGTTTTTATTTATTGTTTTTATTTTGGGGGGAGTCTTGTTAACTCTCTTGTATGAGTGTCAGGGAAGGACCAAGGCTTTGTCTCTGCCATCACAGGTTCAGTAGTTTCTCTGATTTTCCTCCGTGGAGGTAATTTCTCACTTCTTTATTGTTGTAGCACATTGGTTTTTAAAGATGAATGTATATTAGAATCATTTAGGAAGATCTTTTAAAAAATTAATTTTTATTTCATTTTATTGTGTATGAGAGAGACACAGAGAGGGTTAATTATGTCAGGACCCATCCTCTCCTGCGGGTTTCAGGAACTGAATTTGAGTCAGCTTGTGCAGAAACCCTTTCACCATGAACCATCTTGCTTGCTTGATTTTTGAAAAATTTTTTAAGATGTATGTATGTATTTTGTACGTGTGGGTGCACATGCCACAGCGTGTGTGTGGAGGTCAAGAGGACAACTTTGGGGGTTGAAGATACGTCTCAGCAGGTAAGAGCACTGATTGCTCTTCCAGAGGACCTATGCAACTGACATGGCGGCTCACAGCTCTCTGTGGCTCCAGTTCCAGGGATCCAACACCTTTACACACACATACATGCAAGCGCAAAACACCAGTCCACTTAAAAGAAAATAAACCATTTTTTTAAAAAAGGAAAACTTTGGGGAGTTGGCGCTTTTCTCCTACCCTGTGGATTCTGTGAACTGAACTTAAAGCTGTCAGGCTTGGTAACAATTGCCTTTACCACCGAACCATCTCTTCAACAATGGTGAAATTTTTATTAAGTACGCCTAGATGTTTGAACTGTAGGAAGTAATTTTTTAAAATGCATAGTACATTAATTGTTTTCTCATTTAACCATTATCAAGTTTAAATTTTATTGATGGTAATTTAATTTAACTAATGCATATGGTATAGTTCCCTTATCAGCATATGGAAATAAAGATAATCATTTTCCATAGTTTTCACTTTGTGGAGTTTAATATTAGCAAATTTGTTTACAAACAGTTGTGCATTTCGGACCTGGCGAAAGTTCAGAAGATGCGGTCATGATGAACACGCCTGTGGTTAAGGCAGCTCTGGAAATGGGCTTCAGTAGGAGTCTGGTAAGACAGACGGTTCAGCGGCAAATCCTGGCCACCGGTGAGAACTACAGGACCGTCAGCGATATTGTCTCAGCGCTTGTTAGTGCTGGAGGTGAAAGAAGAGAAGAGAAGGACAGACAGACTGAAGAAACAGCATCAGGTATTGTGGTATTGCTGGTGACATCACCTCTCCCCCACCACCAGTATTTCTAAACTGTCTGTTTGCCAAGCTCGGGTGACTTCAGATTCCATCTGTAGCTAGTGCTGTCCTTGAATTCCCCTGAGCTCCCGGCCCCACTGCCAAAGTGCTGGGATGACATATATGCTACCATACCCAGATTTACAATAAAGTTTTTTTCTTGAGCTATATTGCATTTCTTCCTTTTACATAGCTAAATTTTAAAAGCGTGATTTAGGGGGTTGGAGAGATGACTCAGTGGCTAAGAACTTTTGCTGCTCTTGCAAAGGGTCTGGGTTTGGTTCCCATCACCCATGTCGAGTCCAGTGTCTGGGGTATCTGACACCCTCTTGTGACCTGTGTATGCACCTGGTACACATACCCACAGGCCCATACACATACACATA